TCCTAGACCATGAGGGAGCTGTCAGAGGGCAGAGACGAAGCACTTGCGAGAGGTGCCTGGTGCACGCTCCACCTGATGCAGCTGCTCAGTGAGTGCCCAGGACAGCCTTCCACACTCCTGGCCTCGCATTCACTGAGCCCAGTGCCCCCAGTCTTGGCTGTCCATCAAGCGCACATGGGGGCATTTAAAGGGTAGGTGACACGCAGGGCCCATAGTGGGGCAGCATTTTTCAAAGCTCCCTCAGCTGATTCCACCCTGCAGCCCAGGCTCACCTGGCACAAGGGAAGCAGAGGCCTGGAGGCGGGGAGGTTTTGTGGCTGATGCCACTCCCCGAACAGGAACAGCCCAAGCTCTGACAGCCCTGCTCCCTCTCTCTGGGGCCCGCTGTTTCTTGTATCCACTGCTTACATGCCTTTTCCCCATTTACGCTCAAGCTTCTCTTACTTGGGGATGGCTGCCCAAACCCCCACCCCGAGATGGCTAAAGACCGCGGCCCCCAGGCCCTCCTGTCCTCAGGGTCCCTCTCTTGCAGCATGCCCCCTGCCCCGGGGGTTGTCAGGACAGACTGCCTCCCTCTCCTAGTACTGCATTAGCTCACTGAGGCTGAGAACTTTTACAGAAATGCACGGCAGATGCACAAGAAATGATGTTTGAATAGAAATAAGGAAATAACCAGGGCTCCAGTCCTTTCTTCCTTCTGAGCCCCCTAGGATGAGACCACAGTGGGGACTCCAGCTCTCAAGTCACCTTTGAGTCCCCTCACAGGCGATGAGTCTTGGTTTCCCGAGGGCTCCCTGCTCCCATTGGGAAGAATGGGTGGGATGCAAGTGCTTTCAGCATTCTGTGCCTCCTTTTCTCTCTCCTTCCGGGAGGCCCACACTGACCATTTGCTTGTTGTGCCTGGGGACAGAGCCAGTGTCAAGGCTCAGCATCCTTTGCTGAACTGGAGCCTGTTGGGAAGGGATGGGCTGGAAGGTGTTGGAGACCTACTGCCCTGCTTGGTCTCTCCACTCAGGAGCCTGAGGTTTCTAATTGGAGGGTCACTGGCTCAGAGTAAAACTGTGCCACCCACTTGCATCTTGGGGACTAAAAGGCTTTAATTTTCCCTCTAGTGGAGATCTCCACTTTAGATGAAATAGCTAGCAGCTATTCTGGGAGGCCTTGCCCTGGGCTGGACCATAAGAACTCACAGATGTCCAGTCCCTGACCCTGAGAGGCTTATAATCAAGTCAGGACTGGGCTAGATCGCATGGCAGAGAGAGCTCAGGGCTAGGTTCTTGCCTTAATTTTGCCTTATCTGACCTTAAGGACAACCTGCGTGCTGGGGTGAGAGCTGAGACTGAGAGAAGGCAGCATCACCAAGGGAAGCCCCACTTGGAAGACGAACTCCAGCTCAACCTTAGCTCGGGTCCTCCTTCTCTCTGGCACAGACTCAGGCCCTGGCCCTGTCTCCTTGGTGGTTTACTGGGCAGTGTCCCGCCCCAGGCCTGCCAGCGCATGATGCTCCCCATAGGTTTGATCCTGTCCCTGTCCTGCTTACAATGCCTCAAGGTGCACGGGAGGAATCTCAGTTGGCTTCATCTGCCCCCAAGATGCCCACAGTGCCCCACCCAACTACAGAGCCTCACCTGGGAAGACTCTAGCACCCAGCAGACGCACCAAAGGTTTTTATCCCAATGACCAGGAAAGGAAGACGGGCACCCCTTTTGCTGAGGGACTCCCATGGGTGTTATTAAACTTGGTCATTACAAAACCTCTTCCAGGTAGGGACCCTTGGCCCCACTTCTCAGCTGGGATGACAGAGATTCAAGGAGATAAAAGAACTACTGAGTATCTCACCTTTACTCCATAAAGGAGATGGAATTGAAAACCTGGTGGCCCAGGGTCACTGAGGTCTGTCTGACTCTTGCCTGGTGGGAGCCGCCTCTCTAAACACACAGGCTGTGTGTCAGCACACGCAGGGCCCCACTCTTGTAAGCCGCTGCTTCTGAAATTGATTTGTGCTACCTTCAAAGGTGAAGCAAGTACATAACTTAGGGAGGTTTCTGAGCCTCCTCATCTGGACATTTTGGACTGGATCTTTCTTTCTTGTGGGGTTCCCCTTTCCACTGCGGGATGTTCAGCAGCATCCTGACCCCCACACACTAGATGCCAGTACAACCCTTTCCATTCCCAGTGTGACAACCAGGAATGTCTCCAGGCATTGCCAAAGGGTTCTCTAGGGGAGGTAGAGATGGAGGTGGCAAAATCCCACCTGCTGAGAGCCACTGGGCTGAGCTAAGGGTACCATGTGCCTGAGCTATCTTTGGGGGCTCTGACTTCTTTTAAAATGCACAATGATTTTATGTTCCATTCCACAGTATATTGCATTTAACTCCACTGTATATTGCACTTATGTTACTATAAAATGTTTTGCTTCCTCATCTTTAAGTGAAATTGATGTCCTAGGAAGACGTTTATTTCATGGGATTTTTGACGCCTAAAATACATCAGCATGGGCACCAGTTTTTGAGCCCATGACCTACCAGAGGACACTGTGTACCTACCACACCCTGGCTCTCCCATCAGTGTGGCAGTGGAGCCACTTGGAGAGCACTGCTGGGGAATGGGAAGAAGGTGTTCTTGTAGGCCTGCGCAGGGGGGTTTTGGGGGCCAAGGGGACACCTTGCTGGGAGAAGCCCTTTCCAGGCACCATTGCCCACAGAGCCATGTTTAACCAGACTCCCCCCATGTTCTCCTTTCACCAGGGACTACTTTATCATCTGCCCTATAATCGACATGGCCAGTGCCTGGGCAAAGAGGGCACGAGGAAATGTCTTCATGTACCATGCTCCCGAAAGCTACGGCCGTGGCAGGTAAGATGCTGCAGGGAAGCAGAGAAAGGAAGGTAAAACTGAAAGACAAGTCCCAGTTCAATGACATGGGACACACCACCTAACCTCTCTAAGCCTCAGTTTCCTCATCTGAGAAATAGAAATAATTGTAGTAGCCACTTCATCTCACTGTCTTGTTGGTGGGGAAAGTTAAAACAAGTGGTGTGAAAGGCTTTGCAAATGATGACGACACAGTTTGGAATTGCAATGTTAGTTGTTAATTGATTAATTTGACTGGAGGGAAGGCTTTTTCATTTACTCTATGTATTTATTCCTCTAGAAACTGAGCACTAGCTTAAGACAAATGGCTTTCCAAAGTATAAAAAGGCTTTTTTTCCTCAACCAAAGGAAAGTTGTATTCGTGCTTGATTTATATATCATTCTTACTTCCAGAATAGGTTCCAGCTCCCTTAGAATAAAATATCAGGTGCAATGAAGTCATCAAAATGAGAAAGAGAAATAAGGTACAAGTGAAAGAAAACCAACCATAAAGGAAGGGCCAAGCAATGAGCTTAGAATTTAGCCTTGAGTTTCCCAGAAGCCAAGGAAAAGATTTTAAAAAGAAGAAGTAAAGAAAGATTTGGGTTTCGTAACTCCAGTAGCGGAACAAAGGAAGCCGAGACTAAGTGACAGGGACGCACGTGATCTCGGCTTCGGAGTGAAAGAACAATGCAAAGAGGGTAGCTGGGGACTTGGATGACCGGCAGTTTGAAGGGAGGTCTATGGGGCTATCTGTTCTACTGCCCCATGAGCTTACAGTCCTGAGCCATTCATCCATGTGGGGAAACCCCAGAACCCTTCCCACTGAGGCAGTGACTTCGTGCATTAAACCACATCAGATCACAGTGAGGTGCCTTTGGCAAGACGATCTACTCCTCTAGGGGCAGGAAAGTAGTGATGTCCTTGTGCTCAGCCTCCCGTAAGCATTCACAGGTAACAGATCATCAGGACCACATGTCTCCAAAAGATGCCAGACGATTATTGTTTTATTTTATATACGAATGGGAGCAAAGCCTGCCATCTGGGGTCAAGAACATTCATCGCTCACATCCATGGTCTTTTTTTTTTTTTTTTTTTTTTTGAGATGAAGTCTCGCTCTGTCGCCCAGTCTGGAGTGCAGTGGTGCAATCTTGGCTCACTGCAAGCTCCGCCTCCCAGGTTCATGCCATTCTCTTGCCTCAGCCTCCTGAGTAGCTGGGACCACAGGTGCCCGCCACCACACCTGGCTAATTTGTGTGTGTGTGTGTTTTTAGTAGAGACGGGGTTTCACCGTGTTAGCTGGGATGGTCTCTATCTCCTGACCTCGTGATCCACCCGCGTAGGCCTCCCAAAGTGCTGGGATTACAGATGTGAGCCACCGTGCCCTGCCCCCTGGTCTGTTTTATGGGCAACAGGGAGCTGGGTGAAAGGACTGCAGCTTTAGAGGTGGGGGTGCAGCCATACCACCTACCTGCTGTGCCATCATAGGTAGTTTTCTTTGTCTCTCTGATCTTCAATATCCTTACCTACAAAATAAGGCTAATAATTTTTCCTCTTAGGGTTGGCATTAACAGTGTCTGGAACATAAGTTATCCAACCCATAACAGGGCTTTACCCTGTGTTACTTAGCAAGGCAAGGGAATTCTTATAAACACACATCATTTATCTTTATAATTAGCAACGCCCCTAGAGTAGGCTGAATAATGGCCACCTGAAGATTGACTCCTCCCCATGTCCTTCTTTCACCAGGGACTACTTTATTACCTGCCCTGTAATTGACATGGCCAGTGATTTGGCCACCTTCCTCCCATTCCCCAGTAATATTTACTCTCCAAGTGGCCTCACTGCCACTAGAGGAAAGAAAGGATGTTCTCATTTCTCCTAAGCACTCATTAGTTACCTGCTTTCCCCAAACAGTCTCTCTTTTTTTTTTTTTTTTGATGGGGTCTCCCTCTGTTGCCCAGGCTGGAATGCAGTGGCACAATCTCAGCTCACTGCAACCTCCACCTCCCAGATTCAAGCAATTCTCCCACCTCGGCCTCCCAGTAGCTGGGATTACAGGCACACACCATGACTCCTGGCTAATTTTTGTATTTTTAGTAGAGATGGGGTTTCACCATGTTGGCCAGGCTAGTCTCGAATTCTTGACCTCAAGTAATTGACCCATCTTGGCTTCTCAGAGTGCTGGGATTATAGGCATGAGCCACCGCACCTGGCCCAGACTCTTGCATTTTTAAAGCACTCCACAAAAAAAGTTCAGAGCCCAATTCTGCAGAGTTGAAATGGTCACCTCGATTTTACAGAGGAAGTGTGTCTCAGTCTATTCGAGCTGCCATAGTAAAATACCTTAGCTGAATAGTGGCCCCCAAAAGATCTCAGGAACCAATCCCTGGAACCTGGAATATTACTTTATAAGGAAACAGAACCTGGGCAGATGTGATTTAGTTAAGGATGTTGGCATGGGGAGATAATCCTGGATTACCCTGGAAGGGCCCTGAATGCAATCATAAGCATCCTTATAGGTGAGAGCCAGAGGGAGAAGTGCTGTCTACAGAAGAGAGAGGCAATGTGACCACAGAGTCAGAGACTGGAGTGATGTGGCCACAGGGAAGGAATGCCAGTAGCAGCCAGAAACTGGGAGAGCATGGGGAGGGAGTGTGGCCCTGCTGTCACCTTGGTTTTGGCTCAGTCAGACTGGTGTTGGGCTTCTGGCCTTCAGAACTATGAGAGAAAAAAAGTTTTGATGGTTTTTTACCAGTAAGTTTATGGTGATTTGCTACAGCAGCTGCAGGAAACTCATGCAGTCCCCAAGGCGTTCTCATTTCCCCGGAGCACCCATCATTTACCTGCTTTCTCCAAACAGACTCTTCTGTTTTTATACCACGCCACAAAAAAATGTCCAGAATCCTTGTGAGCTCTGCAGGGTTGAAATGATTACCTCTGTTTTACAGGTATGAAGTATGTCTTAGTCTGTTCAGCCTGCCATAGTAAATATATCTTAGCCTGGATAATTTATAAACAGCATACACTTACTGCTCACAGTTCTGGAGACTGGAAGTCCAAGATCAAGGCATGGGAAGATTTGGTGTCTAGTCGGGGGCTCGCTGTCTGCTTCACAGGTGGTGCTTTCTTTCTGCATTCTCTCATGGCAAAAGGAACAAACATGTTCCCTAAGGTCTCTTTTATGAGAGCGCTAACTCCATCCATAAGGCTCCACCCTCATGACCTAGTTACTCCCCAAAGGCCCTGTCTCTTAATACGAACACACTGGGGATTCCATTTCAGCCTATGAATTCTGGAGGGACATAAATATTCAGAGCATAGCCGAGTCTGAGGTTCAAGGAGTTCAACACAATTCCCTCGAGGACAAGCAGCTGGTTAGTTAGAGAGCAGCAACCCACCCGCAGCTTCTCTGAGCCTCAGAACTCTTTCCACTCCAACACGCAGTCGCTTTGCTTAGAACTATAATTTCAGCCTGACCTACAGATTCAAGCAACTGCCTCCAGGTTATAAGAAGAAAAATAAGTGGCAGGCCAGGATTCTGGGAAGGAGGCATTGAGGGAGAGAAGGAATGATGACGAGAGCCATGTGGTTTGGGTGGAGATGAAGGTGCCCTCCTAATCCAGTGGTCTATGGCCACCCATGGCGAGGGAGGCCCAGCATGGGAAATGGTTCCTAGAATCAGCCGTGGCAGTGACCTCCTCGCCAGGGCTCTCAAGAATCTACCCTCCATCTGACTCTTTTGTCTGATTCTCTGCCTTCCTCACATGCAAGGCAGAGATTACAGTGAAAGGTGTAACTCTCCCACAGCAAGTTCATTAAAAGCCTTACAAATATGCACATACTGTTAGACCCCAGAATTTACAGTGGCAAAAAATAAGAAATGAGTCTTCTACATGAGGGTGAAAACAATAAAAGCAAAACAAAATGAAAGCATTCATATCATTGCTGTCTGAATCAATAGTGCTTGGACCCTACCCGGCTCACTTTCATAGGCTGCTGTAACAAAGTGCCACCAAAGCAGCTTAGAGCAATAGAAATGTATTGTCTCAAGTTCTGGAAGCCACAAGGATGAATTCAAGGTGTCAACAGGAGCACCTCTGTAGGCACTAGGGAAGGATGCGTTCCGGCCTCTCTTTTAGCCCCTGGTGGCCTAAGGCGATTCTTGGCTCATAGATGTCTGTGTTCTTCGTCTGGTATTTCTTCACATCGTCTTCCTTTGTGCATGTCAGCCTCTGGACCCAAGGTCCCCACCATCCATGTTGGTTAGGGCCAACACTAATGACCTCAGTTTTACTTGATGACCTCTGTAAAGATCCTATCTCTAAATAAGGTCCCATTCTGGGTATTAGGGATAAAGACCCCAACATATCTTTTTGAGGGAGACATAGTTCAATCCATAACATTGCCTTTCTCTAAAATAACTGAGTCTGCCAAGCAGGCTTTTGAGCGGCAATGGTCCAAAGTGGTCTATTTTGGACCTGGGATTGGGGTGGTCCTCAGAGGAGCAATCCTAACAGAGTAGAATCACAACCTCAGTCTCCCATGGCCAGTGTGGGTTTCTCTGTTACTGAGTTATGTCCTCATGTCCCTAGAGACAGGGCTCCACTGCGCTGACCCCGGGAACCTCCCATGAAACCAAGCCATGTTCATGCAGAGACCCTCATAACTGCCTCCCATGGCTTCATGGCTCTCCACACCTCAGAGCCCAGTGACCCTCCTGGCACAGATGAGGACTTAGCAGGTTCTCAGGAAATCATACTGAAGGATAGATGGTCAGGAATGAGTCCTTTCTACTTTAGTTTTTAGGCTCCATGGGGCTCAGTTTTGCCACTTGTGAAGTGGGAGTAGGGAGGCCGGAGAGGTCTAAAGCACTGATTCTTCACTGGGTTCTAGGGAGCCTGGATCCTGAGCCTCTGTGAGGAGGGGGCAGGTCTGAGCCTCCCAGCCCCTTTCTCCTTATGTCACAGACTGAGCTTTGAGTAACATTTCAAAGTTATTCAATTTAGAAAGTATGAAAAACTACTGGATCCAGTCACCCAAAGGCATCGTTTAGTTCTCAGTTCTATCACTTTTGGAGGAAAGAGACACGCAGATCCACTGAAACATTTTATAGTAGCAGTATTCCTATTCTTGTGGAGGCAGAATAATGCCCTGGTCAAAAGCAGAGATGCTGGCATCTACTATTTTGGTAAAAAACATATCCTTGAGTCTTATCAGCTCAGTGACCTAAGGCAAGTCATGTAACCTCTTTGGTGACTCAATTTCTTCATGTGGCAAATGGGTATAATAATAGGACCCATCTCAAAGGTTGTGACAATCGTTAATTTTACGTAAAACAGAGACAGGCAAATAGTGCTAAGAATATTCTGTTCTTCTTGGCCATCAGAATGCATTCTTGACAACCCCCTGTGTAGATGTCTCCTCTCTCCATCACCATCACATATGGTGCCATCTATGTAGTAGATAATTGCATCAATGAATGACTCACAGAAACTAACTGATTTGATTTTTGGCAAGTTTATCTTATTGTCCCAAAAAGACATCTCTCTCTCTCTCTCGCTCTCTCTCGCTCTCTCTGCCCTGGCGCTGTCACATCTCTCATTTTATTTCTGGCTCAAATCTACATACTTAAAATATACGTGTGTTACATTTTCAGCCATCTGTCTCATACCTCCATTTCTGTCAGCATATATTAGCTTTCCTGGCAACAGCTAGTGAAAAAAATACAATGAATTATTGCTTTCTTATAGACTATTGTAAACTGATCACAGAATAGTGTGATTTTCTTACTGTGCACCTGGATTATAGATGAGATTTTCATTCCTGAAATTGAGGGCAAACTTCTATGGGAAAAGAATAGGTATAACAGATGGAGAGGAGACAGGGAAATCAAAATCTCTAGTGTGAGGAGAAGGTTCCAGTTTCAGATTCAGATTCAGATTCAAAGAATCAAAGAATATAGAAGATGAGACCGTCTAGCTCCTTTATTTTACTTGTAAAGAAACAAAAGCCCAGGGATGTGAGCAGATTATTTCCCCGTCCCTGAGCCAGTGAGTGGCAGTCTGGACCCATGTCCTGTTCCCTGCCCTCTCTCCAGCTTTCTTTCAATTGCTCCCACTTTATCCTAAATCTTATTGAGTGCCTACAATGGCCAAGTCCACATACCAGCTGTGTGGCCTTGGGCAAGTCACTTAACCTCTCTGAGCTTCCATGTAGCCTCACCTATATCTGGAGAGAGTAACAGGTCCTGTTCCACAGGGCTATGGGAGAATTTGGGGACACTGCCTGCATGGTGTTTAGCCCAGAGCTGGCATCTGGATTGTGTATCTGAATGTGTCTGCATGTGAGTGTATGCATGTATGTGTGTCTGTGTGTACAATACCTGGCAGCTTTGATTTCCAAGGTTGCTGATGAGAGAAAAAACTCACCAGCTTTCTCCTGTTCATCTCTGCTCACTGGCGAAGCTTTGAGCCAGTTTCTCCCATGGTCTGTCCCTGGAGCCCTCTGTTTGAGGAAGTGGGGTTGCCAGTGAGGCCTGTAATCCAGGGCTTCTCAACTTGGGCACTGTTGATATTTGAGGCCAGATAACCCTTTGTTGTGGGAGGCTGTGCTGTGCATTGAAGGATGTTTAGAAGCACCCCTGGCTTCTACCCACCTGATACCAGCAGCCCCAGTCCCTCTAAGCTGTGCCAACCACAAATGCCTCCAGACATTGTCAGATGTTCCCTGGGGACACAATCCTTGCTGGTCGAGAACTACTGCTGGAATCTATTAGAACTGAAGTTATTACTAACGGTACCTGAAAGGAAACAGCAGCCCCTTTCCCACACACTGCCCGCGAATCAATGCAGGATGGCCCTGGCCAAGATGCTGTCCCTGGCCCCATGGAACCCCCTCAAGCAGATGGAGTGTTCCAGAGAAACAGGGGTGGCTTCAGTGATTCTTTGTAACAAAGCTGACCTAGAGGCCGGCAGGCCTCCAGGTTCACATGCAGAGGGGCTCTGGCCTGCTGTCTCTCCCAGGTCTGAGGGCCTGGGCATTCTCTCTGATGCCTCCTGCGTTCTCTCTAATGCCTCCTGTCACTTGCCCAGGTACCTCTCAAGGTGCCACCTGCTTATTCTGCTGGGACCCTTCCCTCCCTGCCCATCTCTGGTATTTCCATCTCTTTGACTCACCGGTGATGTCCTCCTCTCTAAACAGCCCCTTTCAAAGGACACGCTGGCCTTTAAAGGTTCAGGTATCATTCCCAGAAAGAGCCCCATCTGTGTCCTCTGCTGCTCATGAGCAATGGACTCAGACCCTGTGGCCAGGTTTGGGGACTACACTCCCAGCCCTGGTCTGTGCTCTGGGCCCCAGCAAGTGTAGAAAAGAGCACTGGTTTGTTCTCTGCTGTTTCCTGTCTTTCAAGGGCCCTGCCACTTTCTGTGTGCCTCTTTAAGTGTTCGTTTCCTCATCTATGCAGTGGAGCTAGTAATAGTACTTATGCTTACTATGAAGTGTGTCAGGACTAAGGAAGACAAGGCACACAAACAGCCTCGCCTATGGGCCTAACTGCCTGGCAGAGAGTGAACACTGATTAGGTAAGCATTACTAATGCTGCTTCATGTATTATGCTGGAAGAATCCAAATTGGAGATCAACAGGTCCTTGGAAGAAAGCAGCCACAACTGAAGTGGTTTCTGGTACCAGATATTGCATGAGGAACTGTAGCCACTTCAGAGAGGATGTGGAAGCCTCTCATCTTAAGATGCCTGGGGGCTGGGCCAACTGTGGAGTTCATGGTTTCCATGGAAATTCATCATAAGGCTGAGTGTGTGCTATGGCACTTGAATTGTGTGCTGGGTCTTTCTTCTGAAGGCCTTGGCCTCCAGGGTGCTGGGATGTCATTCCTACATCCCGGTGGTGTGGAAGATGTTTCAATAAGATCACGTTTGACTTTTCTTTGAACGGAAGAGTATGGCTCTTGGGATTAAACATCTAATCATGCTTCATAGAGAATGTTAGACTGGTCTTTCATTTTGGCAGAGGCAACCCAATCTAGTGAAACAGCACATCTTTGAGAGTAAATCAACTAGAGTTCTAATCCCATATCTACCATTTATTAGCTGTTTGCATTTTTTTTTTTTTTTTTTTTGAGACGGAGTCTTGCTCTGTCGCCCAGGCTGGAGCGCAGTGACCAGATCTCGGCTCACTGCAAGCTCCGCCTCCCGGGTTCCCGCCATTCTCCTGCCTCAGCCTCCCGAGTAGCTGGGACTACAGGCGCCCGCCACCTCGCCCGGCTAGTTTTTTGTATTTTTTAGTAGAGACGGGGTTTCACCGTGTTAGCCAGGATGGTCTCGATCTCCTGACCTCGTGATCCACCCGTCTCGGCCTCCCAAAGTGCTGGGATTAGCTGTTTGCATTTAAACAAATCCCTTTACCTCAATTTCCTCACCTATAAAATAGGTAGAGCTATATGTACTTCATAGTATGAATATTCAAGATCATGTACATTAAACATCTGGCTCATTGCAGATGTTCAATGTTAGGGAGCTAGGGTTATTTTCCTTTTAGGAAAACTAAGTCTCTGAGAGAGTAAAACAAAACATTCAAAATGACTAAAGAGGCAATAATGTTCCTCCTTGATAAGTTGTCCCAACCCTGGAAAACAAAGCTGTAAATTCTAGACTCAAGGTATTTTGTACACCACTACACTTGCATTCTAGACAGTACTGTGCATTCCAGAGGCTTTTAACATTCCAGATTCAAAATATTATCTTTTTAGTTGACTGTCTTGGTGAGTTTGTTGGAATTCACAAACCAAAGAAAATGTGAAGTGGATAGATTACTGAACTGAATCCATCAGCCTGGCTACATCCTGTGGGATTATTTCCCAGTGTAGATGAAAATAAATCATTTTCTGAAACCGATCACTCCAACTCCTTGACATAATAGGGTTTGCACTATATATCTTCTTCAACATTGATTTGACAGAGATTTACCTAACGCCGTCTATGCTGCAGATCCCCTTCCAGGTCCTAGAAATGAGAAAGCTGCAAGGCAGAGAAGAGCTGCCTCTTGGGACAAAGACTGTAGTTGCGGGAGGTGCTGATGGGTATCTAGGAATAGTGTGTAAAGAATAGACAATACACACATCAATATGCAGCATATGTTCAGACAACAACACTAGGAAGGAGATCCACTAGGGTGCCGTGGTCAGTAATAAGAAAAGAACCTTGTGTAAAGGTGACATTTGAGCTGAGAACCGACAAATAAGAAGGTATGTGATCCTCATGTAGAAGTGAGAAATTCCAAAAGAAAGATCATCAAAGGCCAAGGCCCTAAGGTGGGAAAGGGCTTGGCATATTTGAGGATAAAGAAGGCGGCCAGGGAACTGGAGCATTACTAATGCTACTTCGTGTATTATGCTGGAAGAATCCAAATTGGAGATCAACAGGTCCTTGGAAGAAAGCAACCACAACTGAAGTGGTTTCTGGTACCAGACATTGCATGAGGAGCTGTAGCCACTTCAGAGAGGATGTGGAAGCCTCTCATCTTAAGATGCCTGGGGGCCGGGCCAGCTGTGGAGTTCATAGTTTCCATGGAAATTCATCATGAGGCTGAGTGTGTGCTAGGACACTTAAATTGTGGCACTTGAATTGGAGCCTGTTGAAGAAGAGAAGAGTGGTTGAAGGTGCAGAGGGAAAAAAAATGGGTCTTGTAGTTCACATAGGAGTTTGTAAGCTGTGGCTAGCAGAGAGATAGTATTTTATCTGAGTGTGATGAGAAGGCATTGCAGATTTTTAAAAAAGCATATATAATGCACAATGGTCTTTTCATTCATATCCAGAATGGCTCACTGAAACATCAATTATCTTTTTTAAAAATAATAGAATGTACAGTATCAACCCTGTTATCTAATGTGATGGTCAGTTAGTCAGAAAAGTCGATTAAAAGGAGAACTTGTGAAAAATGCATAAGATAGGTATGATGCCTTAAATATTTTATTTTAACTTTAAACACATAAATCTGCATCCCCTGGCCATTCTTTTGGTGCAGGATCAGAGGGTTAAGCTGGAAAATGCTGTTTGGAGTTCTGCCTTTGGACTTCTTGCAAAACCATAAACGTAGTGCATGATCAATTATTTCCAGTTTGGGATCCATGAAAGTGGAGTATCTGCATGGTATTCAATAAATTCAATTAAATATAAAATCACAATGACAAATACAATGACTTAAACAGTTGGGTCTTGGTAAGCACACAACACAGTTAGTGAGAATGCATGTTTGGGGCCTGGAAAGTTCATTTTTTTTCTGGGCAACAGTTATCATACTTTATGGAGGGAATAAAATGTTCAGGTTAATCTAGCAAGTTAGTTGAAAGCTTTGACTCTACTGTGAAACAATATATCATACCGCTCTGCTGAGCTTTAGGAAGTTAGGGGACTACTGCAAATATCTCCTTTGGGGCCTGGGGTGGGACTACACTATTTAGTGTGCCTTAGGGAGCTTATTTTTAAGGGATTGCATAGCAAATTCTCTTGTAAAACACAAGCCATTTGTAAAGCAAAGAATTACTTCCTGATTAATTCACATGCAGAATCTGAACTTTTGCGTATTAGATTTGCCCAAAGAGAGGCACACTTATAAGCGTCTAGTCATAAGTTACTTAACACTTCGTCAGCTTCTCAAAAAAAAAAAAAATTCCTGGGAAGCAAAGGGACTTTCATTCCTCCCTGTTCCTTAATTTCCTTTGGAGGAAGCTATCGAGAGATGCTGGCTGGGGATAAGAAAGGGAGTATATTTTATGGGGATGAGGTCAACAGACTTCCTGCAGGCAGACAGAACAGGAGGGACTGAAATCCCTGCAAGCACAGGCTCTCAAATCAGTCCATTCAGATGGGCAGTAATGCCCACCCGTGCTGTGCCATCTCCAGCACAAGCCTCTTCACACCATTATCAGCAGAACGGCTTCTGCCATGCAAAACAGTGTCTTATTTCTGTCAAGGGAGATCCTTCCTCACACCCTCACCTCATCATAAGGGGAACCCAGGCTCAGCCCACCTCCCCAGCTGAATCCACTGCCAGGTGCATCTCTTTGGATGGATGTACCTCCATCATTCTGTTTCCTGATAAACCCAAACCTTCATGGACTGTGGCTCCTGATCCTGGAAGCTGAGCTCAAGTCAGGAACTTGCACCATGGATCATCTCTGAAATGAGGCTTTTGGCTCGCTAGGATGCAGGCTTAGCCTCCCTGCAGGTCCTCAGCAGCACCAGCAGGATTAATGATGAGCAGTATGGCAGACAGGTAAGCTTGGGGACGTTATGTGAAAAGGTTCTGTCTTTTCTGGACAGTTGCAGTGACCCTAGGATTTCTCAGTTCTAGTTTTTCTTCCCACACACCTCTAGTAATCCTTCCAAAAGAAATGCAACTTACAACTCATTTGCTAAGAAACCTCCAGGGTTCCCAGCCCCTTTAAAACATGACCATCAATTCTTCTGGTCTAGGCTGTCACAGCTTTCAAAGAATGAGAGCCCAGTGGACCTTAGCAAGCATGCAGTTTAGTGGTTTTCAGACTTTGGATTTTTCTGGACTAGAAAAAGTTCCAATTGCACTTCTCAGCAGGACCTGTGAGGCCAGCGCCTTGAGGACTGTTTTCTGCCACCTGCACCAGCCCCCACCTGCCCTGGCTCACCTTGTGCTCAGCCACACCCCTTGTCATTCCTTGCTCCATACAGAGTGCAGATCCTGCTCTATGACAGCACAAGTGCTGAGTTGCTACCCACATGCCCTTCCTCACCTTGTCCATTCACTAACCCTACTCATCTGTCCAAGCACAAGTCCACCGCAGCTTCCTCTCTCTCACTTTCCGTAAACTCTTCTGCATTTTCTTGCCTGGAATAAATGATATTTCATTTCTCTCTCTTCTTATGGTACTTGGTAAGTAATTCTATCACTTGACAGATACCTACCTTTCTATTGTACAACATACAACATTTTATTTTTGAAAAGCAGTGGTTGATCGCACTTCCCTGTTAGAATGTGAGCTCCTCAACAGAATGTCCACCTTTTGAGCCTCAGCATCCATCCAGAGGACACTGCACAGTAGGCGTTTGGCAACTGCGGGCCAAGTAGGGTCTTAGTCCTGACACCCCTTTTCTAATTTGCCACCGTCCTCACTGGATGGCATTCAAATCCTGAAACTGAAACACAAAAGCATGCATACACACACACACACACACACACACACACACACACACACACACACAGTCATCCGCCGAGCTCTGTGACTGGTCAATTCTTTCCACAGTCTGGTTAAATGTAACTTTATCAACTTCAGCCACCTTAACTCTTCCTTGGATGGCAGCTTACAGTTTTTAAAGGAAATTACACCCACTGGATCTATGAGCATCCAGTAATACCATGTGGGTGGCTGAATGGAGATGATTGACCCATTTTACTGATAGGAAAACCAAGGCTCAGAGATTCAGTAGTGGAAGTGGGACTTGAACAGAGCTTGCCCAGCTTGGGCAGGTAGCTTTCCCAGGCCCAAAATCTGCTTCTCGGAGGTGACAAGGAGAAGATTCAGATCTGGCCTGGGCATAGGATGAGCAGCTGTCAGATGAGGGGCAAGTTCCACTGCAATGTGATTACCAAAAACAGCAGAAGACAAGTGACAGCTCAATGCTTCCAGGCTGACCATATACTGACACAGCTGCCACGGGTTTGGGCCTATGATTTATCAGTGATCAGACACAGCACAGAGCAAAGAAGCCACATCAGCACACATGAACTGCCTACCCCTAAGCTGCGAGCACGAGGGACACTCAGTTGAGTCTCTCCTTTTACCTTGTTAGACCCTGGCATGTTCTTCCGGGTCTTCCTCTGCTGCTGCTGCTGAATCCAAATCCCCTTTTCTTCCTCCAGAGGGTCCCAGAATCCCCAACCAGTGCCCAGATTCGCCGAGGACTTGGTCCTCGGATCCCAGATTCCCTCTTCAGAGGCTCCACTGTTTGTGCCTCCTCCAGATGTCCCTTAAACTGCTCAAAATAACTCCTGCATCCTGATAAAGATCAGCTCTGCTAAGGAAAAACAAAGCAGAAATCCTCATACACAACAGGCTCTCAAATTAAACAGATGGGATGGGCTGGAATGCCAGACCTTCCCCCCAAAGCAGTGCTCTGTGGCCTTTCTAAGGTCGCAGACAGTGGTGGCCTGGAGCCGGCTCATGCAAGCTCATGAGAGTCAGTGGTACACATTGCTTCCCAGCGTCGTGCTCAATGACATCATTTTGAAATTGGCTAAGGTGGGAGTATTTACACTGTAAAAATTGGCGAATATCACACATAAGATTTCCTTTCCCCCAGAGAGTCGATTATTAAACGTTTTTCTTTTTTTGAAACAGAGTATCACTTTGTCACCCAGGCTGGAGTGCAGTGGTACGATCAATCAATTGTGGCTCACTGCAGCCTCGACCTCCTGGGCTCAAGTGATCCTCCTGCCTCAGACCCCCAAGCAGCTGGGACTATAGGCACACGGCACCACGTCCAGCTAATTTTTGTATTTTTTGTAAAGATGAGATGTTGTCATGTTGCCCAGGCTGGTCTTGAACTCCTGAGCTCAAGCAATCCACCTGTCTTGGCCTCCCAAAGTCCTGGGATTATAGCCATAAAGCCATCACGCCCAGCTGATTATTAAATATTTATCAGCACATGACTTTCTTGAGAATGTGATGGAGGATATGAAACATTTCTCAAGAAAGATGAGAAATACATACACTTCACGGCATTTTATGTGTAATTTTAGGGAACTTGTGGATCTCCAAAACCCTATAATGGGACCTCCCCAGGCTCCCACAAGTTAAAGACTCCCACTCTTAAGCTTTCAGATGTCTCTCTCAGTTAATCAAAAAGGAAATGAGTATATGAGCCAGAAACCGGGTCAGAGAGATTAAAAATATTTTATTGCTAAACCTCATTCAGGATAAGCATAATTGTGTCACCATTTTACAGAGGAGGACACTGAGACCCAGTGACATTAGACAGCTTGTCCAAGATTGCACACTAGTCAGGGACTGAGCTGGGGTTTCAACAGAGCACTCTGGCCTTGAAAGTTTATTTCTGTTCACTAGAACACTTGGAATGCAGCTTCCTCTGGAGGAAACAGTAGATCAGGCTATTGTGGTAGCAGTTATGCCCTGTCAAAATGTCCAAGTCCTAAACCCTGAAACCTGTGAATATGTTACCTTCCATGGCAAAGGAACTTTGCAGGTGTGATTAAGGTTCAAGACTTTGAGATGGGAGCTTATCCTGGTAAGCTCGATTTAATCACACGAGTGCTCTAAGCAGGGGAGTGTTCCAAAGAAATGCAGCATAAGAAGGACTCAGCCGCTCTGAGGATGGAGAAGGGCGGTTCTGATGGACAGCCTCCAGTGACTGGGGATGGCCCTCAGTTTGTAGCCAGCAGGAAAACGGGGGCCTGGGTCCTCTACCTCAAGGAACTGAATCCTGCCACAAACCTGAATGGTCAAGAGAAGTATTCTCCCCAGAACTTTCAGAAGGAACGCAGCCCATGCACCCTTTGAATTCAGTCCACTAAGACCCATCCTGGATTTCTGAACTCCAGATGGTGTCAGATAGTAATTTGTGTTGTTTTAAGCCACTGAGTCTGTGGTAATTTCTTAAGGCAGCAATAGAGAACTAAATACAGCCAGTTTTCCAGAAGGGCCTCCTGAGCAACAGGCTGTTGAACCTTTCATTCCACAGTGAGGAGAAGGACTAAGCCCCAATGGGGAGAAAATCGGCCAGACATCACTGGAGGAAGAAAGAGGAGGGGGGCCCCTGTTAACCCTGGGCCTCCTGGCTTCTCTGTGGCCACCGCAGAGGAAGTGTGGTGATTGAGAAACAAGACAGCTTCAGTAAGACCAGCAATGAGGCCATGAGAAAACCCACACAAGACGCAAAGGGACAGCAGACCGTGAAATCTGCAGACGGAGGCTTCAGTCCTGGCGTCACCACTGAACAGTTACGGGGCCTTGGCAAGAAAATGGCTTCTTTGAGCCCAAGCTTCCTCCACCGTTGAAAGGAGTAATAAAACCTATTCACAGGGTGGGTGAGATAATAAGGGTGAATGCCATTTGTAAACTACCAATTTTGGGTTTATGTGAGAGATTATTTCTATTGTCATTGTAATGACAACTTCTCTCTGCCTGGCATTTTTTGTTTTGTGATCCTTTTCCTAACAACTTCCATCGCGATTACTTTTAAATGGTCCTCAGTCCTCTCTGCACAGGTTGACTACACAGAGCAGGGGATTGGGGGCCTGGGAGACTCGGGTTTGAACCCTGGCTGTCCCGTGTCTCAGGCATGTCATTTTCTCTTTCTGAGCCTTCATCTATCACCTGGAAAGTATGTGGATGGTAACATTCACTTTTCCAGTAGCCCTTGAATGTTGAAGATCACAGCTGCCAAAGTTCTACCATGGTGCCTGGCACAGCCCAGGTGCTCTGGAATTGGTGGCTATAAGCAGACATTGGGTAGAGCTGGCTGCAAAACAGGCCACCTTGGCCACCGCAGAATCTGTGACTCTTTTCTGGGCTCCTCACAGTTATTGCTGACATTGCCCAAGGGACTTAGCTCTTTGGGTCCCAGGATCCTACAAATTTCAATGACACTCGCCACTTCCTGCTCCCCTCTCAAAAACAGGAAACCTTCTTCCTTCTCTAAGAAGGCCCTAATATGTGAGAATAGTTGCAAAGAGACGCTGCGCTCGGTGACTTATTCTCTTCCTAATCATACTGTATGTCCTCGTGGTTTCATACTCCTTTGATGACACCTTCCAGTGCAACGGCCCAATACTGACACACAATAACCTCATCATAATAATAGCAGCCATTTGTAAAAACACTTCTTTTAGACAGAGCTTCCACATGCAATAGCTTATTCTATCTGGTATTTTATGTAGAGGAAACCGATACAGAGAAAAGTCAAAAGACACCTCCAAAGTTACACAAGCTGTAAGTTTCAGAGCTGAGTCTCAGCTGAGTGATGAGTTTATGTCTGTTTCTCTATGGCCTGCTGCCGGTCCCATGTATGCCTGATGATCATTCTTATGGCCAGAGTAGGAATACTGGCTCTCCGGCCCTCAGGCCTCAGTGTTAGGGAAGGACCCCTGAACCTCTGCTGTCACCACAGTCCCCAGCCTGAGAAGGAGAGGGGCAATAAGAAGGTGCTGTCTTTGCTTGAAGTGTTCTGCTTCACAGCCTTGAGCTAGAGGGGCCCTTTCCCCAGCCTCTTGGATAATCACAATAAATCTCTCTGAGTCTTAGCCAGAGTCAAACTGTCTATCCACAAATCGTTGCACTTCATATAATTTCACCTCTGCACAAACTGCCTTTATCTGGGAACCACTGCATTCTAGTCATTTCCCAGAACATCTGTCTGCTGGCTACCTCTGCCCATTGTACCAGCACGGATGAGAACTGCTGGGTCAGAGCTGGTGCCAGGAACTTAAATATAGTTGATTGCGTCAGGAGGTGAACTGATGTGGTGAGAAAGAACTGGACCACGTTTTACTTCTCTTTTAAATACATGCTCCATATACCATTTTATTTTGATCTTCACAGCAGCACTATGAGGTAGGGAGTTGATATGGTTTGGCTCTGTGTCCCCACTCAAATCTCATCTCGAACTGTAATCCCCACAGTTATAATTACAAGAACCCAGAGGGAGGTGATTGGATCATGAGAACAGTTTCCTCCATGATATTCTGGTAATAGTGAGTGAGTTCTCGTGAGATATGATGGTTTTGTAAATGGTGGTTTCTCCTGCTCTCTTCTCTCTCCTGCCGCTTTGTGAAGAAGGTGCTTCTTCCCCCTCACCTTCTGCCATGATGGTAAGTTTCCTGAGGCCCCTCAGCCGTGTGTTACTCAATTAAACCTCTTTCCATTATAAATTACCCAGTCTCAGATATTTCTTTATAGTAGTGTGAAAACAGACTGATAACAGGAGTTATACACCCATTTCATAGATGAGGAAGTAGGGAATGAAGGAGGCCAAGAAATTTGCCAGACATCACTCAGCTTGAAGGTGGAAGAGCCGGGACCCAGGCATAGGAGCCCTGGGGCCCTGGTGCTTTTTGTTAGCATCGTGCATTCTGGAAACCTCAGCTTTTATCTGACTCTGCTATTCACTTACTGTGTGTCTCTGGGCAAGTCAGGAAACTGCTCGAGACCTTATTTTCCTGGTCTGTAAAATTAGAGGCTGGCTTTTTCTATAAGATGGGGCCGATGACAAGGTTAGAGGGCATGGTCTACACACAAGACCACCCTCCCTCTGATGCCAGCTGAAAATTCAGGGGTTCCCCAAACCACCCTGAGGCTGGATAATTCACTGGAAAAACTCAGAATTCGCTAAAAGCTGTGACACTCACCACAATGATTTATTACAGGGAAAGGACACAGATTAAAATCGGCCCATGGAAGAGAGGCACAGAGCCCAGGAGGGTTCCAGGTTTGAAGCTCCATTGTCCCCTCCCTGTGGAGTCAGGACGTATCACCCTCTGCACTGAGGCTCACCCCAGCGTTGGTGTTCAGAGATTTATTGGAGTTCCATTACATAGGCATGATTGATTGATTGATCGATTGCCATGTGATTCCTTTCAGTTTACAGATTGCCTGATACCATGAGACCCAAAGCTCCCACGCTAAATCACGTGGTTGTTCTTTCTGGCATGGCCAGTCCCCACCCTCAGACTGTCAGGAAGGGCCATATCCACCCTAAGATCCAGTGTGGCCAGCCTCTTCCCTCCTCCTAACAGGTATGACTCACCTTCCAGAAGTTGAGGGCAAAGTCCAGACCTCTCTATAGGCAAAGCCCGATTCTTTACTATGCAGTGGTGAAATCCTTTCTGGCTTTTCCACTCTATCACTCTCCCTGGTTCCCAATGCTCACTCCAGGGCCCGTGTACCAGGCTCCTCAGCACCAGCTCCAGCCCGGGTCATTCACACCACTGGACTGGCTTCCAGGTCATTATTCCCAGCTGGCTGCTGCTTCCTAGATATTTAATCCAGTCTAGCATGTATTTATTGAACAACTGCTGTTTGCCAGGTACTGTGCTGGGGTGGGCTTCATGGATAAATGTCATCCTTGAAGAGTCATGAGTGTGAGTTGTATATGAACAAGGGCTAGTGCAGGGATTGGGCTCAA